AACACTTTTGACTTCTCTATCAGTTTTGAATAACATCCTTGCCAGGTAGTGCAATCTTGGTTATAGATTTTTTTCTTTCAGTACATCAAATATATCCTGCCATTTCCTTCTGGCCTGCAGAGTTTCTGCTGAAAGATCAGCTCTTAATCATATAGGTTTCCCCTTGTGCATTACTTGTTCCTTTTCCCTTGCTGCTTTTAATATTTTTTCTTTGTATTTACTATTTGTTATTTTGATTAGTATGTGCCTTGACATGTTTCTCCTTGGGTTTATCCTGTATGGAACTCTCTGTGCTTCTTGGACTTGATTACTATTTTCTTTCCCATATTGGGGAAGTTTTTGTTTTTATTTACCATAGCCTTTTCAAAAATTTTCTCAGACCCCTTATTTTTCTCTTCTTCATCTGAGACCACTATAATTAGAATGTTGGTACATTTAACATTGTCCCAGATATCTCTGACGTTATCCTTAATTATTTCAATTCCACTCCTTTATTCTGCTCTTCAGCAGTTATTTCCACCACTCTATTTTCCAGCTCACTTAACCGTTCTGCCTCAGTTATTCTACTATTGATTCCTTCCAGAGTACTTTTAATTTCAGTAATTGTGCTATTCGTCTATTTATTTCCACTAGGTCCTTGTTAATTGTGTTAATTTATTCTTGCATTTTCTCCATTCTATTTTTGAGGCCTTGGTACATCTTTAATGCCATTACTTTGAATTCTTTTTCAGATAGTTTGCCTATTTCCTCTTCATTTATTTGGTCTTGTGAAATTCTACCTTGTTCCTTCATTTGTGCTATATGTCTGTGTCTTTTCATTTTTCTCTAACTTAATGTGGTTGAAGTATTCTTTTCCAAGGATTTATGGTTCTATTTCTTCTTCCTTTGGGGTTCCACCCTCAATAGTTAAGGTTGGTCTAGTGCTTTGTGTTGCCTTTGTGTTGGGGGTGACTTGTGCCTGCATTTTCACCCCTCTGATAGGCAGGGTTGTGTGAGGTGGTATATTTTCGAGTGTCTAAGGGAATCCTGTCTGCTGATGATAGTTTTTGTGTTTTTGTCTTGCTTGTTGCTTGGGTGAGAAATCCTGAACTGGGTGCCATGAGCAGCTGTGTGATACTAGATTCTGTATACAGGTGTAGGCCTTCATGGAATTTCTCACTAATTAATACTCCCTGGGATTATGAGTTCTCTGGCACTCTGAGGTCCTGGATTCAGTTCAGTTCAGTCGCTCTTTGTGATCCCATGCATTGCAGCACACCAGGCCTCCCTGTCCATCATGAACTCCCAGAGTTTACTCAAACTCATGTCCATCAAGTCGGTGATGCCATCCAGCCATCGCATCCTCTGTCATCCCCTTCTCCTCCTGCCCCAATCCCTCCCAGCATCAGGGTCTTTTCCAATGAGTCAACGCTTCACATGGTGTGGCCAAAGTACTGGAGTTTCAGCTTCAGCATCAGTCCTTCCAATGAACACCCAGGACTCATCTTCTTTAGGATGGACTGGTTGGATCTCCTTGCAGTCCAAGGGACTCTCAAGAGTCTTCTACAACACCACAGTTCAAAAGCATCAATTTTTTGGCACTCAAACTCTAGTTAAGTATAATACATTGCAACTTTAGAATGAATTTAAACTTATTCTTAATATCTGATAGTGAGATATAGAACAGCCAGTTAGCAAGTTGTGTAGCATCCAATTGACTCAAAAGCATGAGGGACCGAATGTTACATTGGTTTACTCAGGTAAGTTACTTGGTTTACTTGGTAGCAGAGGGGGAACTTAGTTCACAGGTAACTTTGTAAATTTGACTGTGTCACTGTGTTTTAGTATATTCATCTGAAATAAAGCAACTCACATCAAAGTACTTATTGTAACTTGTTTCACAGAAATTTGTAAGCAGCAAATGAATCAAAGTGTTGACAAAAGGTTTGGAAAATGTAAACTGCTAGGTAAATAGAAAATACTATATTTTGATAACACCATGAGCATTCTATAACTTTATCTTTCACTGTTGTATATAATCTCTTGACCAAAATAAAAAAAAAATGCTATCTGTTAGAACTGTTGTTTAGATCTCAAACACCTCTAAGCTCAAAATCAATATATTTTTATGAAGAGGAGGCAATTCTCAATTTCTAATTCATATTCTATTATAAAAATGCCAAAAAAGTATAATAATTCATAATTAAACTTTTAATTTAGGAAACAAACTAGTTAAAAATGAATTTTCCACTGCTGCAGACATATATTTTCTGTANTGATCGCTGAGGAAGGCTTTCTTATCTCTCCTTGCTATTCTTTGGAACTCTGCATTCAAATGGGAATATCTTTCCTTTTCTCCTTTGCTTTTCACTTCTCTTCTTTTCACAGCCATTTGTAAGGCCTCTTCAGACAACCATTTTGCCTTTTTGCATTTCTTTTCCATGGATTCAGTACTGCCACTCCAAAGACTCAGGCCCAATCCCTGGTCAAGGGACTGAGATTCCTCGAGTTGTTTGTTATGGCATTAAATGGGATTAAAACAAGCACAGGGAGATAAAAAGCAAAACATTGAAAGAAACAAAAGACCAACCCAGACATATGGTAAATACAAATCAGACAGACAATTACAAAAACAGTGGAACATATACATATGCTTACACACACACAAACATAACAGAAATATTCCAAAGAAATGAAAGTACAGAGACTGACTTGGTAAGCAAATGAAACCAAAAATTATATCAACCAATTAAAAACAGAGCCAATTAAAACTTAAACTGGAAAACAGAACCAAAGCAGGGTGCCAATTGGGGAATAAAGCAAAGAAAACAAAACAAATTAACAAACATGGTGAAAAAAGAAAGAATAAAATAAGGGGAAAAAAAGAAAAAGAAAAGGAAGAAAAGAAGAAAAAAGAAAAGTAAGATTAAATAGAAATATGTAAAAAATGATTTAAATATATTAGACAATAACTACAGCAGGAAAAGAACAAGAAAAAAAAAAGAGGAAAAACAAAAAATTCATAAAGGAAAAAAAAATCCACAGCACCACAGAAGGCCAGTGCAGAGGTAGAAGTATATAGTGGAAATGAAGATTGCGATTTTTTAAAAAAGAAAAAGTCTCAAGGTCATTATTCTTAGTTGTGGAGTCAGTCCCCCATGAATGAGGTTGGACCAGTGCCATGTAAAGGTTTCCTGGTTGGGGGGACTTGTGCCTGTGTTCTGGTTGATGAAGCTGGATCTCATCTCTCTGATGGGTAGTAGCATGTCCAGTAACAGGTTTTGGGGTGTCTATGGGTTCAGTGTGGCTTTGCACAGCCTGTCTGCTAGTGTGCAATGTTGTGTTTCTGTTTTCTTGAAGGATTAGCATGGGGTATCTGGGTATTGGTGCTTGCTGTCCTTTGGGTGGGCTTGGCTTTGGTATTCAGATGGAGGCCTTTTGGCGGTCTCTCATCTATTAATGTTCCCTAGGGTCAGGTGTACTCTAGTGGTTCAAAGCCTTGGGCTTCCGTCTCTACCTCAGGGGTTCAGGATCATTGCCTATTGAAGCTCCAAGAACTCAGAAGCCACACAACGCAAAAGACAAGTTCCCAATACTCGTGGTGAAGGCAACACTCAGTAGCCCAAAATACTCAGTGAAACCTACACCAAGGTCTTCTAATACTTCTAGGAAGGTCTCTGAAACTTGTGGGCAGCATGGAGTCAGTCTCACATCTGGCCTCATTTCAATTTATAGCTGCTCCTAAAGTTTACAGTTTCTCCTAGAGTCCACAGTCTGTTCCCTACCTGGACACAAGAGAGTGAAGGCTGAGGCTCATTAAGACTCACTTGCTCTCTTAGGCTGGGGAGAGAGGAGGATATGGCAGCCACATAAGAGTTGTACAGGGGAATGCCTGTGAAAGTAGTAAGCTCTTGGATGCTATTACAGTCTAAGGCAGCTTGTGAATTTTCCCAGAGAAAACTGGGGTCTAGGGTTCTAGAGACCCAATTCATGGGTCTCTAGAAAGAGCCAAACTGTTTAAGCTCCCTGCAAGGTGTGGGCAGTAACCTGTGCCTGCTCATGGCCTGGTGCTAGCTGCAACCTCTGTGACTGGGAACACATCAACAGTGTTTTGTCTGTTGCTTCCAGCACCTTTCCTGGCTTTAACAGTGGCAGTCATGTCTAATTCCACAGCCTTGTCAAAGTAGCACTCTCAGCACACATCATCATGGCCACCAGCCCCCTACCTCTCCCTGGGATCTTCGTTGGAGCCTTGGCTCCCTGAACCACCACTCCCCCATTCCAGGTTGGGGTTTGTGAGCTGCTTATGGGCTGAGAAGTGTTGTTAGGCAGCTTTCTCAGTATTTTGTCTTCTGAGTTACTGCTGTTGCACAGCACTCTGAAGTTTCACAGTTTCCCCCTTGGTCTCGCCTGTGAGGGGCTTTACAAGTGCTCAGAAATTTTTCTTCCTTCATGACTCCCTCCCTCCCTTGGGACACAAGCTCCCGTCCTGAAGTCTTTTGTCTTTGTGTGTGGGGGTGGGTGTTTATCCTTTGTCCTACCTCATTCTAAGAAGATTTGCTTTCCTTTTTGGAGGTTTGGGGTCTTCTGCTGTCACTTAGTTGTTCTGCAGGACTTGTTCCACATTCTGATCAATTATTTATGTATTTGTGGGGAGGCCGGTGATCTTCCCATCTTACTCCTCCACCATCTTCTTCCATCCTACAATGCTAGTTTAACTCTATATCCTCATCTGGAATCAGTAACTTAGAACTGGAAGGGATCTGTGAGTAGTACCACACTTCCTTTGACAGAGAAACTGAGGCCAAGAAAGAAATATCTTATCCAAAGTCACACTGTGAGTTTGTGGAGGAGTTGACTTGAGAACTCAGGAGTCCTGAGACCCTGGCCATGGTTTAATCTGCAAGCACAACCATTATACATGGTTCTCTGCTAAGGCACAGTAAGAGAAAACCCTTGCAATAGGAAGCTTCCAAGGCATACCTGGCAATAGAAGGCAGGGACAGGCTTTTTGAACATACCTCTTGTAACTGAGATTCTTTCTTTTTGGAAGACAGATGTAAGTGCCGATCCAGCAAGGAGTAAAACCTCTCTCCATCCTTTTCAAATTTCTTTTTCCTCTCCTAGAGGTGGGAGAGAAAGTAAAGAGTAAGATGTCTGTGATTTTAATTCAGTCTGCTCAGAAATGAGAATGAACAACACAGTGTCAGAAAAGCAAGTCAGGATTTTGCCTCAGCAGTTTCAACTTCTTCAAATATAACCTTTAACAACTTCACCTACACAAAGGGTTCCTATTTGTATAGCTAAAGGCTCTGGGAGCTAATGCTCAGACAATAGCATTTAAAATGCACCTGTATACCAGTTAATTTTTTCCCCTTAATATTTTTCACATTCATTGACTACATTAATTTTTTTTTAGTTTTCTTTTTTTTTCATTTATTTTTATTAGTTGGAGGCTAATTACTTTACAATATTGTAGTGGTTTTTGTCATACATTGACATGAATTAGCCTTAATTTTTGAAAAGAAGAAGGAACACAATAGTCAACAGTGAATATGCCTTTCAAATGTTAATCTACAATGCAGTTAGACAGTCTAGTAATAAGTAAAACATTTCCAAGAAAATTGGAATCTAAGACTGACTGTAAATTATAAGTTCTTTGATACTGCTTAAGCATTTCAGTACTACATATTAAAATATGATGTTAAAGATATGGAAAAATCCTGCAAGGCTTAACTGAAAATCAGGAGTTGAAAAGACTCATGACGGATGGAAGCCTCAGTCATTATTTGCGTTAAGCTCTCTGCCTCTCAACACAACAATTAATAGAAATCACACAGTTTCCAAATGAGCACTAAGAATGCTAGCTTGTCACAGACTAATGCTGACATCCTGCAATCCTCTCAGCACCACATTGGGAAATTCATGTAAAAGGCTTGTGTTGTCACATAGGAAATCTAAACTCACTGAGTACCTAAAGTGTGCCAAGTATTAGATGAGGCAAAGCAACTGACACACAGGAAAAAATATACCTCAGCCAAGGTTTATTTCTAGAGGCAATCTATTGCTGGGCAGGAAGTCAGGGCAAAACTGAGTGACCTCTTACCTGTCAAGAATGTGCTTTTTACATAAACTCAAAATGGATTAAAGACCTAAATGTAAGACCAGAAAATATAAAACTCTCAGAGGAAAATATAGGCAGAACACTAAGATAACATAAATCAAAGTAAGATCCTCTATGATCTGCCTCCTAGAGTAATGGAAATAAAAACAAAAGTAAACAAGTGGGGCCTAATTAAACTTAAAAGCTTTTGCCCAGCAAAGGAAACTGTAAGCAAGGTGAAAAGACAATACTCAGAATGGGAGGAAATCAATAAAACAACTGACAAAGGATTAATTTTCAAAATATACAAGCAGCTCATACAACTCAATACCAGAAAAACAAACAATTCAATCAAAAAGTGGGGAAGAGACCTAAGCAGACATTTCTCCAAAGAAGACAGACAGAAGGCTAGCAAACACATGAAAAGATGTTCAACATTGTTCATTATTAGAGAAATGCAAATCAAAACTATAATGAGATATCATCTCACACCAGGCAGAATGGCCATCATCAAAAGGTCTACAAACAATAAATGCTGGAGAGTGTGTGAAGAAAAGGGAACGCTCTTGCACTGTTGGTGGGAATGTAAATTGATACAGCCACTATGGAAGATGGTATGGAGATTCCTTAAAAAACTAGAAATAAAATTACCATATGACCCAGCAATCCCACTCCTAGGCATATACTCTGAGGAAACCAAAACTAAAAGAGACACATGTATTCCATTGTTCATTGTAGTACTATTTACAACAGCTAGAAGATGGAAGCAACCTAGGTGTCCATCGACAGATGAATGGATAAAGAAGTCGTGGTATATATACACAATGGAATATTACTCATCCATAAAAAGGAACATATTTGAGTCAGTTTTGATGTGGTAGATGAACCTAGAACAGAGTGAAGTGAGTCAAAAAGAAAAAGATAAACACCATATTCTAACACATATATATGGAATCTAGAGAAATGGTACTGAAGAATTTACTTACAGGGCAGCAGTGGAGAAACAGACATAGAGAATAGATTTATGGACATGGGGAGAGGGGAGGAGAGGGTGAGATGTATGGAAAGAGTAACATGGAAACTTAAATTACCATATGTAAAATAGATAGCCAATGGGAATTTGCTGTATGGCTCAGTAAACTCAAACAGGGGCTCTGAATCAACCTAGAGGGGTGGGATGGGGAGGGAGATGGGAGGGAGGTTCAAAAGGAAGGAGATACATATATACCTATGGCTGATTCATATTGAGGTTTGACAGAAAACAGCAAAATTCTGTAAAGCAATTATCTTTCAATGAAAAATAAGTTAATTTAAAAAAAAAACTAAGAATGATACCACCATATGACCCAGCAATTCCACTCCTAGGCATATACCCTGAGAAAACCAAAATTGAAAAAAGACACATGCATCCCATTGTTCACTGCAGCACTATTTACAATAGCTAGAACATGGAAGCAACCATGAATAGTAGTGGTGAGAGTGGGCACCAGGAAGAAATAGAAGATCTTAACAAACCCATCACAAGCAAGGAAATTGAAACTGTAATCAGAAATCTTCCAGCAAACAAAAGCCCAGGACCAGATGGCTTCACAGCTGAATTCTACCAAAAATTTAGAGAAGAGCTAACACCTATCTTACTCAAACTCTTCCAGAAAATTGCAGAAGAAGGTAAACTTCCAAACTCATTCTATGAGGCCACCATCACCCTAATTCCAAAACCAGACAAAGATGCCACAAAAAAAGAAAACTACAGGCCAATATCACTGATGAACATAGATGCAAAAATCCTTAACAAAATTCTAGCAAACAGAATCCAACAACATATTAAAAAAATCATACACCATGACCAAGTAGGCTTTATCCCAGGAATGCAAGGATTCTTTAATATC